GCCAGGTCTGTCTTCTGAGGTCCCCTTGGGTGGGTTTGAACGGCCAACCTGATCATCTAGCGGTTAAGCCCCACCCAGCTACCTGTATGATGGAGCATATACCCATGTTCACACCATGCATCTTCTCTTCTTTTAGAAGTACTTCTCTAGAAGAGCATCACCCCATGCAAAGACTTATCCAATCACCACAGAGACCTCTTAGAGAAGCTGGGGCTTAGGCATTATTGAATCAACCTGGCTCTTCTGTGACCCCCAGGCTGATGGCTGCGGCTGCTGCTGCACACAGCCTGGGAGGCCTCTTCCATGCACTACCCAGGGAACCAGCCACATGGAGTCAGTCCCCTCTTCCCCGGGAGAGCTGGAGGGGATTGGTGGGCATCTCTAAGCATGCAGGTGCCAGGTATACCGCCCTGCCAGGGCCTCCTGCTCAGTACAGATGACTTTCAGGGGGCTGCACACTCCCCTAGGAGTGAGTCCTCACTTGGGGATTTTAGCACTGAAAAAGGACCTTCCTCTCGTGGTGGCCAGGGATTTGCTGTGGGTGGGAGACACTGCGCCCAGAACAGGGCATCAGCATCCATACTCTGCCCTCATCAGGCTACGCTGAGACCAACTGAGGAGCAAAAGGTGCTTGCCATCCATGTGCTTCCTATGTAGTTGGGGGACAGGTGGCTGGGGACAGACAGCAGGCATGGGGGGTGATCTGACCCACAGGCTGGGACAGGGTGTCAGTCTTCCTGGTTGGGATCTGAGCCTGGTTAGCCCAGTTGCTGCTGTGTGTGACATGAACTTACGGCTCAACCTGGGCCACAATGGTGAGGCTGGTGCAGAACTGGGCAGTGTTTGGCTCTGTCGGTCAGGGGGTCCCTGGGAGTGGAGCCAACTAGAGGGCACTGAACAAGAGCACGTCTCCACCCCTAGCCCTCATCCCCACAGAAAGGCAGGTGAAATGGGAAGAGAAACACAATACAACACGGAACTGCCCAACCTTCTGAAACCTCCCTCACCTGGCAATCGGTCTCTACTTTGGCAATACTGCCCCTCATCTTTTGAGTACCAACCTTTTCTAAACTGGCTCCTCCTGACCTACCTCGAAGAGCAGATGCCATTGTAAGGACAGGTGGAGAAAGCCCGGGGAGCAAACTGATGTAGTGAAGGTAGAAGCCCACTAGGAAGTGGAGGAGCCAGAACCTGAAGCCCGTTGCATCCTTTCTGGTGTAAGTAGATACAGGGGCTTGCTCCCTGCTCTGGGGCCAAAAATCAGGAAAAGAGGGAGCATTTCCTCAGACAGCAGATTTTACCCTGGAGAGCAGAGATCATTGTCCACACTTACAGGTGGAAAGGGAGGCACCAGGTGGCTGACACCTGAGTGCCCTGTCCCTTTTAGGCCCAGAATCTAAACCCATGTGTTCTTGTTCCTGCCCTGGCTAGAAGCCACCAGGAATGAAATATCTCAAATTCAAAACATTCCCTTGGATGAGGGTGGCCAAGGTGCGATGCAGTCCATTCCACGGAGTTTACCATTATTTTGAAATGTCTCTGGGGGTGGGGAGTGGTGGGGGGATGAGCCTGTGAATACCAACCATGCACTTCCATTCTCTCTCATGTTCCTGGGTGGGCTCCCCAATGCTACACAGGATGCCAACGCACTGGCTAGGCTAGCTGCAGAAACCGAGGCTGGAGAGGGGACAACAGCAGCCAGGAGAAAGTGCCCCTCCTGTGATGTGGACATGCTGCAGGTGGGCATGCCCAGGCTCATTCCTCTAACAGTTCTTCACCAGAACCCAGACAGGGTCAGGGGAGGGCCCTGCCCTCAGGAAGGATACAATCTGGGGATGGGGAGCAGGTATGTGTGTGCTTGGTGAGAAACAACACGGCTTGGCATGGTTTGGTAGAGTACGTGCAAAGCCCTGGGAGCACAGAGGATTGAGTTCAAGAAGACTGCCCGGAAGAAGAGGCAATTGTTTCCTCAAGGGACTTGGTGGTGGTTAGGTGCCATCGGGCTGGTACAAACTCGTAGTGGCCCTGCGTACAACAGAATGCAACCCTGCCGGGTCTTGCCGCATGCTCACCCTCGTTCTAATTGTGAGCCCATCGCTGCAGCCAACGTGCCCCTCCGGCTCATCCAAGGCCTTCCTCTTTTTCTCTGCCCCTCTCCCTAACCAAAGGACAGGCCCGTCTGGATAACCCGTCTGAAGAACAGAAGATGAAGTCTAGCCATCCTCCGGTCTGAGCTTTCTGGTTGTGCTTCTTCAAAAAGAGAGATCTTTTCGTGCTTCTGGTGGTCCATGGGACTAAGTCAAAGGGACTGGGGACGTGAGAAGTGGGCCTTCTAGACAAAGAGACTAGCACACACTGGGGGGTGGGGGGGGGCGCATGGTGGGAGAACAGGAAGGTAGTCTAAAACAGTCGGGAGGCCTTCAAGAAACGATAGCTCCTTTTTCAATGAGCTAAATTTGCCACAGCCCAGCCAATTTCAGTAGAATTGGACAGCCATTTAATGAAGAGTTAATGAAGGCGACATGCACCCACACGGAGCTCATGTGATGCCCATGCGTCCATCTAACCAACACGGAAATGAGCCCTGCTTGTTGCTGCTGTGGTTAGGTTAGCTACTGAGTTGCTCTGGACTCACAGCGCCATCAGGTGACAGAGCCGAACTGCCCCATTGGGTTTTCTAGGCTGTAACCACAAGGCTAACAGTTCAAAACCACCAGCCACTCGGGGGGAGAAAGATGAGCCTTTCTACTCCCATAGAAGTTATACTCTCCGTAAACCACAGGAGCAGTCCTATCCTGTCTTATAGGGTAGCTTTGAGTCCAAATCAATTCAGCGGCACTGAATTTGGCTGGGGGGGTCTAGAATATTTACTGAGAAGAGCTCTATGGGCACAATGATTAAGTTCCCAGCTGCATCTGAAAGGTCCATGGTTTGAACCCCCATCAGCTCTGTGGCAGAGGAGACCTGGCCTCTGCTTCACTGCCTGGGGAACCCTTACAGGGCAGGTCTGCTCCATCCTGAGGGTCGACAGTTGGAATTGCCTCTAGGGTACACAACAACCACAAGAAACCTGTACCCAAGAGGGTTGCCTGGTCTTTTGCTCAGAGCCACCCGGAGGGTTGAAATCAACAGTCCATCACTTAATCGTTGTGCTGCCAAAGCTCTTTTGATGAGTCTCTGCTATGCACAAATCCCTGCTTATACCAGAAAATGTTTTGTCCAATTCCAGGGTGGGCAGACCTCAGTGTCCCCAAGCTAGACAATTCCTGCACTTGATGCCCAAAACTTTGACCTTCAAGGATAGTGAGCCAGGGGGCTGTGTCTCCCTTGGCCAAGCCCTCCCTGTACTTCCCACTATCAGACCAGAAGTCAGAGTGTCTACTGTGACTCACAGACAGAGAACCGTACTCCCCTTCAGTAGCTGATGTCTGTTGGATGCCTTGTTGATCTGAGGAAGGGAGCTTTGGGAGAAATGATGACAATGCCTTTTATTTGCTTGGCACACGAGCTTCTGCAAGGCGTTCCCCCACCCACCCTCTCCATCATCCTCCCTGACTGCCACAAGTTCCCCCAAAGCTGCAGGGACTTTCAGCATCCCCATATCACAGATGTGGGTGAAGGTCCTCAGAAAAGAGAAGCGATTCAAGGTCATGAGGCCCCTGTGTGCCCAGGCCTCAGTGCAAATCCTCATGTTGTCTGTCTCCCAAAGCCTGCCCTATTTCCTCCACGCCTTCCCCTCTGCCTAGAATACCACTAAACCTCTCCCAATGACCAGAGTGCCAGGCAGAATACTGGTCAAACCCACTCCCTCAGGCTACAAAGCTACAGCATAAATTAAAAGCCCAATTAAAAAACTTTAAACCAGGGCTTATCGCTGTCCCCTGAGGCCAGGATACAAAGATAGAGCCCTTCCAACATCCATCCTGGAAATTACGCAGAGACCTACTTACCCAGAGGCCAGAGCTTCCAGACCCAAACTATTCACCTAACAAAAGTCTGGCTCCCTTCTCCCCAGGCTGGCGGGGTTTGATCTGGGCAGAACCTCTTGCCCCAGCTGGCCTGCAGGTGGGATAGACCACCCAGCTGCATTTGCCTCTGACACGCCTCTGAATATAAGGAACTCCAGAACCCAATGGAAAACGACCAGCCCCAACCCTCATTCCATGGAGAAACGAGGCTGGGCTTTTCTCCCAGTCTGTAAGGGACATCATATGGCAGTGCTGGAGCCCTGGGGGTGGCCATGGGCCACCAGTGAACCAATGGCGTTCCTATGTGGACTGGAATGGTGAAGAGAGGCCCCATGGGGTGCCCGAGGCTGTAAGTCTTAGGGATGTGGGCTGCCACATCCTCCACCCTCAGAGTCTGGTGGGCTCCGAGTGCCAACCTTTTTTGGTTCGCAGCCTAACGCTTCAGATGCGGTGTGAGTAAGGGGTCCTGGCTGAGGATTTATCACTTTACTTCTGTTAACCCCATGACCTCAAGCCACCCATGGTCACACTATGATGGAGTCCGGGGAGAACCTTGGGAACAGATGTCACCTGCCTCGCCAAATAGCCCTACCAGATGCTGGAGCCAGAGCCAAGACCCCACACCAAGAGCTCCGTGAGCCCTCAGCCCTCCGCAGGGGAGCTGGCCTGCACTGCCTCCAGCCTGACCAAGCCAGGAGCCCAACAAGCTTCTGTTGAAGCCAGGTCCCAGGACTCACCTCGGTGCCCCTCTGCCCCCCTTCAAGGCACCCTCTAGGACAGGATCTGGAATGGGTTCCCTCAGACTTCCTCGCCCACCCCCTCCTGGTCCCAGCGTCTCCTGAGCTCTGCCCAGGTGTGTGCAGGGAGCTGGAGGTCAGCGAGCCCTGGGTACTGGGGTGATAGAAACCACCTGGTGACGGGATTCCTCCGGGTTAAGTAATAGAAGCCAGCCAACTGGCAGGCATGCTTGCAGGGATGGTAAGGCTGCGGAAGGCAGAGTTGGGTAGCTGGCGACCCGGCGCCCTCACCTACCTGCGTCCTGCTGCAGGGCTCTCTGCTCCGCTCCTGGGCCACGCTGCGGGGTCCCTGGCTAGCCAGTGGTGGCGGTGGGCGGGTCACGGAGTCAGGGGCGCTTGGAGCCAGGCTGAGGTCCCCGCGGCAAGGCTGCCTGGAGGAGGAGCCAGCAGA